CAGTGTCACTGGCCCTCATATGTGGGATCCGAACCGGGGCCCTCTGGCATCCCAAGCGAGTTCTTAACCATCGCGCCACTCGGCCGGCCCGGGATGAGGATTTTAAGACGTGTAAATGTTTTAATAAAAATAGATATAATGTTATGGGGAATATAAGAGAGAAAGATGCTCAGATATGATGTGATAAGAATAATCACCAGGGGCCAGCCCCGTGGCTCAGTTGGTTAAGAGCACGAGCTCTGAGCAACAGGGTCACCAATTCGATTCCCACGTGGGCCAGTGAGCTGTGCCTGAGCTGAGCTGCCAACAGGTGGCAGGATGGCTCAACTGGTGAGAGCACGTGCTCCTAACAAGGCTGCCAGTTTGACTCCCACATGGGATGGTGGGCTACAGCCACCTGCAACTAAAACGGAACACGGCACCTTGAGCTGAGCTGCCTACGGGCAGCCGGATGGCTCAGTGGTTAGAGAGTGCGCTCTTAGCAACAAGGTTTCCAGTTCGACTCCCACATGGGATGGTGGGCTATGCCCACCTGCAACTAAGATTGAACATGGCACCTTGAGCTGAGCGGCCGTGAGCTGCTGTGGGGCGGCCGGATAGCAACTAGACTTGGAACTGAGCTAGCTGCACCCTCCACAACTAAGATTGAGGGACAACAACTTGGCTGTTCCCCTTCCCCAATTCCCCAATAAAATCTTTAAGGAAAAAAAAAAGAATAATCACCAGTCGAAAAATCATTATGAGAACTTGGGATCCCAGACTCTAATGTTAAGCACTGTGCTAGATGTTATGTACTGAGAAAGAAGAATAAAATGGTCATTTTTTTAAAGTCTCGAAATAGCTATACATAGGCAAATAAAAATGTATCTAAGAGGTCAGTGAAATCCAATACTTGATATCAGATCCTTTCTGATAATATAGACACATCATTGTAGATATAAATTATATTTCCCACCCTTTATGAGTCTAAATTTCAGCATTAAAACTTTAAAAGTGATATATGAATATAGATATCATATGTAAACCATGACTGATTTTGAAATTAGTTGTAGAAGTAAAAAATGTTAAGTGTTCAGAAGAAGGCAAAATCACTGTTTCATAGAGTAAACAAACCAGAAAGACTTTATAGAGAATTAGGGGCTTGACCTGTGAAGGATAAACAACTGGCATTTATTGAGAACTTACCATATATCAGGTATTGTGCAAAGCTCTTCAATCTTATTCACATTTGTTCTTATTTACCCCGAGAGGCAGATTTTTGTTATATCACATTATAGATGAGGAAACTGATGTGAGAGATTAAATTGCTTGCCCTGAGTCACACACCTAGGAAGTGGTGGAGCTAGGATTCAAACATAGTCCTGTGAGGCTCCAAAACCCATGCTCTTAACCATAAATAGTTTTGTTTTGTTTTTTTGCTATCAATATGCTTTTTTTGGTGTTTTTTTTTAAAAGATTTTTATTGGGGAAAAGGGGGAAGGGGAACAGACAAGTTGCTATCCGTTTTTTATTCTTCAGTCTAGTTGTGGAGGACATTGCTTCACTGGCCCAAGTTGGCACCATCATTGCTCTCTTCCCAGGCAAGGCAAATCAGTCGCCGGCTTCTCACGCTGGCTGCTGGCTGCTCACGCTGGCTGCTGGCTACATACCGTAGTCCATGGCAACCCACCTGCTGTCGCTGGCTACTCGGGCAGCCCAGCTCCAGGTCGAGCTGTTGTTCAGCATCTTAGCTGTAGAGGGTAGTGTCACTGGCCCTCATATGTGGGATCCGAACCAGGGTCCTCTGNTTTTTTAAGCTGAGCCATCCTGCCACCTGTTGGCAGCTCAGCAGCTGCTCAGCTCAGGCCGGGAATCGAACCACTGTTGCTCAGAGCTCAAACTCTTGAGCGAGCTCTTAACCAACTGAGCCACTCGGCTGGCAATAAACATTTTTTAATGCATTGATGAGATGGCAAGAAAGTAAAGGCAATCTTCACATTGGTAAAATGATGTAAAATCAGAAAACTAAACAGGTAAAAATAAAGCCCCTGCTACCATAGTGCCCTTGTTGTTTTGACAGCCACATGGAGGAGAGGAACAAGAGACAAACCTACAATGTCTGATAGATACTCTGCATAAATTTGGGACCCCCAAGGAGCTACCCCTCTGTAAAAGTGAATAGAAAAAAATATATATATATTCAACTCTGCAGAAGGGGAATTTGTCTCACTAGGTAGAGGAAGAAATAAATCTCCTTTGAGATTTTCTAACCATAAGCTGGCTGTTACATGGATTTGCAGCCCAGATTCATACTGCCTATGTATTTAAAAAAGACCTGAAGCCAAGAATTTATTTAAAAGTAATTCTGTCTTGATAGTGCCTCAAGGCACCTGAACAGGAAACACAAATGCTGAGACAGTAGCATTCACCCCAGGCCTCAAAGAATTCCCATAGTTCAAATTCTAAAAAAACTGAACAGTAAAAAATCACAAAACAAAGAATAAAGCACTGTGAAAGAGTCAAGAAATAACAGACAGCAGCATCAGACCCCAAAAAACTGTGGGTATTAGAATTATCAGAGACAGACTATAAACAGCCATATTTAATATATTTAAATGTAATAAATATTTTAAGAATAAAAGGTGCAATTAAAAGATGATTAAGGAATTAGGAATTCTTAAAAATGACCAAGATTTGAAAAATTATCCACTAGAACAAAATAAAAAAAAAATTTTAATGTAATAATAATTGAAATAAACTCAAGCCAGGATTAGTGGCCTGGAAGAGAGACCTTAAGAAATTACCCAGAAGCAGCATAAAAAGAGATGAAAAATATGAAAGATGGTGAGAGGAATGGAGGATACATGGTCTAATAAATAGCTAATTAATTAGAACTCCAGACTGTGAGAATTGAGGTCATCAGGAAAAAGCAATATTCAATGACAAAATGGCTGATAATTTTCCCAGGTTGATGGGAAAAAAAGAAAAACCAATCCTCAGTTTCAAAGCTCAACAAATCCCAAACAGGATAAATAAAATAAAACCACATCTTGATAAATTGTAGTGAAACTGCAGAACACCAAAGACAAAGAGGAGTTCCTAAAACCACCAGAGAGCTCATGTTCTTTAAATCATACTCCACTAATTCTCAAGTACGACTTCCTTGAGTACAGTGGAAGATTCCAACATAACATGCTGACCACTAAGCAATACTGGCCTTCTGTAGTTTTCATTTCCTTTTAAATATCTTCAAAGGTTTAGTTCATTGGCTATGAAGTGGATAAGAAAAGCGAAATTTTAAAAAATAAAAACGACCACAAATCTCCCTATTACCTGAACTGTACAGAAATGGATGGGACCAAAATAAACAATTGTTTATTCAGTACAAAAAGTAAATCCCTGAATTTGTGTAGTTAGCAAACAGACTTAGAAAGGGGAGAGGCAATGGAAAAGTTACCCACTTGCAGTTGGTACAGGTGTAGAAGACGGTCTGCCCTTCATCGGCTGAGCGCATCTGTCTGGTGTGGTATGCCATTCCCTCGTGACCACATCGAGAGCAGCGCCTGTCAACCTGGGAAGCAACTGGTGGGTTAGGGAGGCCTAGTCATATCCTTCTTCTCACAGGAAGCCGGCGGTAACACTCCTCGGACACTGCTGCTCTAAAGGCTCCTCTTCCCTCTTGGAATTGGGTACAAAGCTCTCCAGATCTCAGCAATCACCCCTCCATTTCTTTCCCACCCTCCCTATGAGATCAGTCCTTGATATCACTAACTTACCACGGGTCCCTGGCATTCAGGTCCTTCCTCCACCAACATAGGCATGGCCGTTCCCAGTTTGTGGAACACAACTGAGGTCTTCACAACCTTGCCTTCGAAGTCTGCGCAGGCAGTAAGAACTGATTGTACAAACAAGCGGAGGTAGCTGACGCCCACAACTCCCCCTCGGTTAAGCCAGGTGGCCCTACTCTAAATCCTTCCCTTCAGGTTTCGTCCCGAGACTAAAGGTATATGTGCCTGATCTCCTGCTTTAGAGTCCGCCTCCAATCGAACAGATCTGGAGGTCCCCAAGCCTCCGATCCTTCTATGCTGGGCCCTCAGCCCGAGCTCCTGCGTAGAAGCCCCTCACCTCGCACGTTGACGGAGAAGCCACAGCGAGTACAAGTGACTGTATCCTGAGTTCCTGGCAGAGGCAGGACCGAGCCGCAATCCGGACAGAAATCCAGGTCCGACTGAAAGCTGGAGCTGGTGCCGGCGAGGTCCATGACAGACAGGAGGTCGAGGGCTGGGAAGGGGATGAAAAGGTTATTAACAAAAGAGAAAATAGCCTCTCCCTACTCAGGGGTCATGGCTATTCTTTTCCTGGACATAAGCATGCATAACGCGAGTACTCCTACCACGCACGTATCCTGTCCCTGCGACCAGTGGAACCCAGCGCCCGGAATGCCCCGCCCGCGTCTGTTACCACCGGACGTGGGGTCCTCCCCGGGGCTGGCGAGACGAGGCCGCCAACTGTGCGGGCTAGAGCGCCTGCTTTGCGCAGGCAGCAGGGCAGCGAGTGCGAGGCGGGCTAGAGCGTCGACGCGTTCTGGCTCACTTGGCTGCACGTCATAATTCATCGCAAACGTGATCCTGAGAATCTTAATATTAAGAGAGAAGCCTCACTGAAGGGAGGTTGCAGCGCCACGTTCAACTGGATTCTCCGACTTCGGGTAAGAAAACGGGTAATCGATGATGCGGCTGTCTCTACTTTCCCCCCTCAGGCCCCAAACCTAAGATGTTTATTTTCTTAGTCTCGCATCTTACACTGCGGCGCGGGTAGGGGTGGGGCGAGCATTCCCCCCCGAAAATCGTAGTAGCCTTACTAAATATTAATTTCTTTGGAGTAGAGAACTACAACTCCCGTCGTTCTTGGGCCGGTATTTTACCTTTTGCGGCTGCGCAGTGGCCAAAAACAAAGCTAAGTATTTTGGAAGTTGCAGTTCTAGTGTCCCTTGGCCCTCGCGGGCTACACAAGGGCTTTCCCCAGAACCCAACCTAGCTCGCGTGATTTGGGGGGCTCTTCCGGGCCTTTGGAAGGGGCGAGTCAGTTTCTTAAGGGGCAAGAAGTGGTGAGGGTGAAAGCGGAAGAGGAATGGTTTGTCCCTGGGAACGAAAGGAAGCCGCGATGAAATGGGACACTTGGGAAAGGGCTCAGGACTTTGGAGGTGGCGAAACTGAAGAGCTTGGGACCACCCCTCCTTAGACGCTACCATTAGTCAAGGGAGCAGCCTTGGATAGGATTTCACTAAACCTTCGGTCGAGGTTGGCTTTCAGTTGCAGAGCTACCTCCACCTTTTCCCTCGCCTCCCGCCCAACTCTAAAAAATCATCATCCATTACGTGGACAACTGACATTCCCCAAATTTTTTGGAAAACACGAGGACAAATATCTAGAAAATCTTGCTATTTTCAACCATCTGTAAGTACAATCTAAAGTAGAAACTTGACCTAGAGGGACAGCTTCTGGATGAGTTTCCTAGTTACTTCCTGGCCCTTTCATCCCCACCTAATCAGATAACTGCTAAGTTCCTTACATATAAAAGTTCTGGAGCCATTACCATTTTCCCCTCTGGAAGAGACAAGCTGTGGTCTCTCCTTGAGAAAGGATCTGGTCTTTCTTTCTCTGCAATAATGGAAAGACAATGGTTGAAGGGGTTAGAACTCTGAGCAAGTTACAAGCGAGTGACAAGCCCCATAATTTCACTTAACCTGGGTGTCTTGTCTGTCTTACAAAGGGAGTTCTGTTGCTGAGCCCATGATGACAGGCAACTTTTATTTTCACTTTTCTGTGTGTCAATCTCCTTTGAAAATAGAAATTGAAATTAACCTTCTCACCAGCTTTCCCTTTTCATTCAGCAGTGAGTTGAATGCTGTTCTAATGCAATAAAGGAACACCAGCGTTAGAAGGCATGGCCCTTTTCCAACAAAAGCTTACAGTCTGTTCAGTTAGTTAAGCACCTGTGCCAGTCTTTGAGCTGAGGCTGGGGCTGCAAAGTTGAAAACTGTGTTCTCTGACCTTAAAAAGTACAAATGAATAACTAGAATACAATGAAAGTACACTAGTGGCACAAAAGGTGAGAATGCAGGACAGGCATATAGAACAAATATGCCTGTATACTTCAAGGAAGACTGGCAAATGGTTTTGTTTTGTTTTTTACTTTTCCAATTATAGTCTTTTCTTTTTATGAAAAAGATCATACAGAATTCGCCAATTAACAAAATTCCAAAAGAAACTTTAAAAAAGGAAAACAATAATTCCCCCCAAAAAACAAAACCAAAGTCTAGCTTTTCCTTCCCTTATGATTGTCTGGACTAGGCCTCCCATCTTCCTGGAGGGTGCTGAGTCTATAGCCCGCAGCGATTGGGCCGTCCATCCTCTCAGCCTCTGCTCTCCCTAACTCCTTCTCCATCTGGGAGTGAGTACAGTATACCTGGGCTGGGATGGTGAGTGGGTGGGGTGTGCTTGGGACAAGGGGTGCTTATGAAGCTGGGTACAAGACACTCAAAATCTAACAGGAAATAAAAAATAATATTCTGCACATCAGAATGTGTTCTCTCTTTTTAAAAATAATTTCATTGCTATTTTTCACAGTTTAAAAAGTTTATGTTTATCTTTATATATAATTAAAAAGTTGATTCAATTTAAAGGCATATGCTACAGGGAGAATTCTCTTGATACAAAAAAACCTGTATAGGTTGGAACTGCCACTTCCTTTCGGGTGAGGCAGGGATGAGGATTTTTTTTTTTTTAAGATTTTTATTGGGGAATTGGGGGGATGGGAACAGTGTTGGGGAATTGGGGAAAGGGGAACAGACAAGTTGCTGTCGTTTTGTTCTTCAATCTAGTTGTGGAGGTTGTTGCTTCACTGGGCCAAGTTGGCACCATCATTGCGCTCTTCTCTGGCGAGGCAGATCAGTCGCCGGCTTCTGGACGGCCGCTCACTGC